CACACACACACACACACACACACACACACACAGTGGTTTCCTGACCCCACCCTCCCACAGAGCAGCTCCATCACTGTTTTCTGGTTAGAACAAACACGTTTCTGCTGAATCACACATTGATTCATTTTAAATACACTTTAACTTTTTAACTTTCACTCCAACTGTGTCGCTTCTTTCTTTTTATTTGTATCATTTAACATTAAAAAACTTGTCCTGACTTGATTGGTGTATTATCTTATTAATCAATTACCCAACAACTGTTGTGACAATCGATTAATAAGTTGATTGTTATCGTGTTAGTTAATGTGTTGAGCTTCTTTGTTTCACATAATATACACATTTCAAATGAAGTGTTTTAAAACGAGTTCTATTTGCTGCGAGAGCAGGATCATCACCAACACTGAAAACATACGCCCCATGACCAAGCAGGAAGCAGATTGTCTCTGCAGTTAGTGAAAAGTCAGAGCAGGGATTTCTTTTCTTGGAACGACGACGAGCTGGAAGTGTTACTGACAGGAAGTGTTAGTGACTGGTAGTCAAGTCATGTGACCAATATATGGAAAAGATGTCATAAACTTCCCAGGTGGCCACCAACGTCAAAGTGCATTACCTGTCGATATCTCTATTCACAGTCTTTGATCTCTATTCACAGTCTTTGATCTCTATTCACAGTCTTGGGTTAATCCAGAAGGGGAGTGACAAACAAAGAAGAAGAAAAAAGGAAGAGAAGTACAGCGGGGCTCCACCCGACAATAAACCGAGCAAAGAAGAAGAGGAGGACATCATCTCTCTTCATTCTCATATGTTCACGTTAAAGCGTCTAACAGAGCTGAGGGTAGTGATCATGTTGTTTACTCATCTCTCGTTGTGTTGCACGTTGTATACGTGCACACACACACGCACACACACATTTGAACACTGAAGGACTTAACGATGTTACCATGAGATGTTTTACAGCGTAGACATCATTAGAAACACGATCGACTCTGCGACCACTCTCTCTAATGTTCCACTAATGTTCCAGATTCATTGATTATATCCAAAGACTCCACATCCTGTTTACATCAACACTAATGTGTTCTCCACAGTCTCTTCAGAAGAACCTGTAGTGACCGTTTCCTGGAGGTTTCTGCACAGACAACGTTCTTCAGAGGCTTCATCAGAACATACTTAGTGATTTGTACATATGGAAACCAAAGCAGAACCCTTAGTATCCTCCTAACTTTAGAGAGCAGAACGTTTCCTCCAACAGAACACATGACGTTCTAGAGTTATCAGTGAACATAACCTCACAGGAACGTTCCATTATTTTGAAACTATGACAGGACGTTCTGAGAAGAACATTGTTCCCAACACCAGACACTGTTTTAAAATTCATAAAACATTTTGTAGAATACTGAAGTCACAATGTCCTCAATGTTCTGATCTAACAGAACAGACCTTCAGTGAATAACAGAAGAACTTTCAGAGAACGTTAAAAGATCGTTTGAATTCTCCTGAATTTAGAAAAACATTTTCAGAACATTTCTGCAACAAATGGGAACGTTTGTTCCCTGGAGGGTTCTCTAACGCATCAGCCGTGCTGTTAGGTTTCAGACAAACGTTCTGTTAACATGATTAGACAATTCTCTCAGGGAACAATAACATCACCACAGAACCAGTGTTAGTGAAGATTTCACGTGGAACAGTTGGAGAACGATCTGTGTTGAACTTCGACCGATGGTACGTTTTCAAACAGGTTGATGTTCTGTCAAAGAAACTGAGAACCTTAATGAAACATGAGGAAAATAAACATTCTATCTATAACGAGTGTTTAGAACAAAGCTGTTCAAACATCATCAGTTAAAAGTTTTACAATAAACCTGAAAGGAACTTTGTGTGGAGAACCTCAGGATCAGAGCAGGAACTCCGTTAGAACGGTTCCTAACAACTGAGGCCGAAGTGAGAGAGGAGCCGAGGAGAGCAGCTGCAGGACGGACACAC